GCAACACGTTCAGACAAACTGCCTGTCTCTGTTCGCTGTTGCCCTCTCTCTCTCTCACTCACACTCACACTCACTCGCTTATTCAAATACTGCGATGTTTGCCCACGTTTCCATCCTCTGCTCCTTTTCGCCACGTTTTCTGTTTGTTGCTGTTCGCTGCATACTTATGCATTTTTTATTTACATGCCAGCATGCAGCACACCCCTGCCCACCCCTGCCCATCCCAGCTCAGGCAGCGAGTGCCATTAAATCTATTGCCAAGCACGTCCTGCCCCGCGGCGCCCTCGCGCCTCTCGAGCGAGCACTGCATAGTGTTAAATTGCCCAGCAGCCCGTCACACATTTGCATTCCATTGCAGAGAGACAGCAGCTCGTGTATCTGGAGGATGCACACAGAGCCGAGAAGCTCCGACGCACACGCAAATGTATTTTATTTTGAGCTGTTTGTTTAGCCTTTTTCAAGACAAATTTAGCCTTTTTATATTCGGTTATGCTCTGCAAAGGAGAGTACTGGCTCAATGGAATATCTACGTATGCACACTTGGGATTACTAATGGCTTTTAAAGGGCAGGGGTCGTCTTAGGTAACGGGACTTCCCCACTTTTCTAAATTGTCGAGTTGAATCCCAAAAGATTTCTGTATTTGAACACCTTTGGCTGCTTTTTGGCTCAGGTCTCTGCCTTCCTAATAAATCAACTCCAATTTGAGCCTTAATAATTTTTTCCCAATTCGATTTCCCATCGATATCTCTCCATCTAATTGGCATTAATCCCGCTCTGCTCATCACTATCCATTCGGCTCCTCTCTTCCCGTTTCCTGTCCTGCGTAGGGCACTGGAGTGATGGGGCCCTGAGTCTTCAGCTTGGGGCAATTATCCGTGGCGCACAATGGCCACAGAGTCAGATCAATGGCTACATCAGGCACGGTGTAAATCAATAGCAGCTACTCTGCTAATCGGTTGCTGGCTTCTCCTGCTCATCCATCTTCATCTCCTTCTCCTGCTCCATCTCCTGCTCCCTCCGTTCCATCCCATTGCCTGCGACAATATCAACAATTGTAATTCCCCCAACATTAGTTGCGTCAATATTTAAGAACTGCCAATTCCCGGGCAAATGTATTTGTGTCTCTTTATGAGAATGGAAACTTGAGTGTGCAAGGATGTATGCGTGTGTGTGAGGGTGTGTGTGTATGTGTGTGCTTGCCTTGGCATTCCCCTGTTGACAAGTGCTGCTTGTCATGGCATTTGCATTGGAATTGGAATTGGAATTGGCATTGGCATTGAGCGAAATCGTTGCACACGAAATCAAATTCGCAATTTGCACCAAAGATTTGATTGACATACGTAAACCTTGAGATACGAATTTCTATTTTCGATATCGATTTATGCGTTCTTTTCTATCTATTTTCTGTGCAACTGTGCGAATGAGTAATGTAATGAAACACAAGTAATTGCGCTCTAGCCGGGAGGGTCTGACTAGGAGATACCTTGACGAACGGATAGATGGGATTGAGTAGATCCAGCTGATAAAGTAAATGGGTATTGGAATGCAATAATGGAATAGATGGACGAGCAGATGGAAAACGAGTGGAGCTATTTAATATAGTGAATGACTAAAGGGATGGAGTTCAAGCTAGAAGAAGAGGAACTTAAGCTAGAAGAAGAGTAGGACGAGGACCAGGACGGATTTTGAGAGATTGACAGGCAGAAATTAGCTGGATCTACCACTGAACGAACGGACAGATGATGAAATGAGTAGAACTAGCTGATATAGTAAATGACGAACAGATGAAAGACAACTGGAGCTCTTTGATATTCTGGATTTGATATAGTCAATGACTAATTGTATGGAACCCACGTTAGAAGAATAAAATACTCAAAGAGTGAATGAGAAATATAATGGGATCAATGTAGGATTACGGAAATTGGATCGAATGAGTTCGACTACGACTTGACGGCTGAATGGAAAGTGGAAATATGGAACTAGCTTTAGTTCCAAATTTCTAGGAACTAAAGCAAAATGACTAGATCTAGGGAAAGAATAATGTGATTGAGCACAATTAAGTGCTTTAGTTGTACGAAATACCTTGAGCACTGAGCAAAGCTATTAGCTTATAACAGTTCTAAATATTATTTATCAAAATTTTCAAGCTTACCGAGAAGGAACTGTTGCTTCTTCCTACATCCCTAAACCAATATTCCCTCTCTAATCTTGTTATGTGATCAGATTATTTATACTATATATACAGATACAGAGGAGCGCAACAATCAGCTATTTATAGCTTTGTTGAATTTGTAAGCTAAACATGATAAATATTGATGGAATTTTGCATATTTTATACGAATATCTTGTTATTGGCTCGCAGAGCTACAAGTGCTTACAGAGTTTTCCGTTACAGGTAATTATGATTAGCCTTGGCAAAAGGTAAACAAACAAATCAGTTGAAGCACGTGAGCGCCTTTTTTTTTTTTGCTTTTCTTCTTCTTCTTCTTTGTTGGCTTTTGGCCATAGCAGAGACAGCTCGACTCGTGTTGCCAAAACAAAATGCTACAAGCAGACACAGAGACACCCACACACACCCACACACACTCACACACACACACACTCAAAGATAGGCAAACAAAATCAATTTCCAGGCAGCCAAAAAGCATCCGACGGGGACGATTGCGCAACGCTCCACCTCCACCTCCTCCTCCAGCGCCAGCTCCAGCTCCAGCTTCATTTTGTCCCGGCGGGCGAGTGAGTGAGCCACAGACCGCAGCAGCAGCCACAAGAGCCGTATAGCTGGAGGCACCACTACACACTCCCCAATGGCCACAAAAGTACTTATGTTCTCTTCTATCACGACTCTTCCTCTCTCTCTCTCTCTCTCTATCTCTGTCTCTCTTGTGTACACACAAAACACGTGCCGCGTAATGGCGCGTAAATTGTTGCTACCATCTTAATGCGTTCCTAAAAAACCGCAATTTCTGCGTCGCAAAGACGCAAAGGAAAATGGCAATGGGAAGGGGAATAGAATGGGAATGGGAATGGGAAATGGGAAATGGGAAATGGGAACGGGAAAAGGTGACCGAGGCAAACGTAGGCGACTGATAAGCGAGGGAAACAACACATGAAGTCCCAGAGACAGCAGCGAGGCGCAGCAGGATGCGGAAACGAACCAACTCAGCGAGCGAGCGAAAACAAGYCAAACAAATGAAATGAGCCCTAAAAAAAGGGTTTGCTTTGGGTTTGTTCTCCACACACTATTCGCAGTAAACAAACTGCGTTTTTCGTTTGCCTGAAGAGAGCAAAAGTTTTTACTTCAATTATAGCAGTATGTGTGCGTGTGCATGAGTGTGTGTGTGTGTGCGCTGCTTGGTGTAGTTGAAGTTTAGCACAAACGACATTAAAGTCAAAGCGCTAATGCGGTTCCGACAGCTGATGAAAGAGATCCAGATTTGGTATTATGTGGAATACCCTGAACGTATAATAAGTGGGTAAATAGGCTATGATGTTGCAGAAACTGAATCAGGATCCAGAGAGAAGTTTGTATAGGAGAATGTACTACTTGATGTATGTAACTGAATAAGTATCCGACAAAAGTATCGTTTTATTGTATAAGATCCTTCTAAAAGTATAAGAGTGAAAGCGTACACACATATTTAACCATATGAATATGTGTATAGAAGTATACAAGTATAAGAGTGGTTACATATTAAAGTAGAAGAATCTCAGAGTAGATCTGCGTAATAATATAAGGGTGCAGGGTTGTCTTTATATATGTATCAGTATAAGACATTATTTATGTAGTACTATGAGAATATCTGTATACAAATATAAGAGTGGATACATATTCAAGTATAATTAAATAAGAATAAGAAGAACATAAGAATTTTGGCAAATTAGAGTATAATTATGAACAGGATATTTATAAAATAGATTTTCTTAAGATCATGCGTTACTTATCGATAAATTTTTACATTTTTGTTATGGGTACTCCTCATGCAAGAAAAACGAAAACGTGTTTCTCTTTGAATATTCTAGTGTGTACTCTCCAAGTTCTCTGTAGAGTATCTCCTAGTAGAGTATCTGGTAGTCGTTCACATGTTACTTGAGATGATTATTTAGTTTTTGGGCCAAATGGGTCTAATGTTGTGGCACTACGGCCTCGAAGCTGATGGCCAGCCGAGTGAGTCGAGCTGGGTGAGTCGCCAAGGCAATGCTCAGTGTCTGTCAACAGGCACATGAATTTTTAACGTTGGCCAGCTGCAGGTGGCACAGGTGAGCGTGAAGCGGCCCAGGCCCAGGCCCAGGCCCAAGCAGACAATGCTGCCAACAGGCTGTCCACTTGGCAGGCAGCCAACGAGGCCCCAGCCTCAGTCGCTGTCCTAGACCCAGAGCCAGAGCAAGAGTCTGGGCTCGAGTCGGGGAGGTGGGGGGCGAGGCCAACCAGTTGCGTTTAGGCGTGCGAGGCACGTTTGCTGCCCCTGAGCGATGGCGAAATGAATAAATGGGCAAATGGGCAAATGTCAGTGCCAAGGTGTCAAATTGTCAGCGCCCTACAAAAAAAAGAAGAAGAAGCCAAAAAAAATCCAAAAATAAAGATGAAAAGAAAATGGCCAACTGAGGTTTAAAGATGTTTCAATTTCTGATTGCCTGAAATTTGATGTGGCGCACGGTGCGTATGAGTGCTGCAAACAGCTCGCCTTACCTACATATACCGTTATGTAGTAGGAGTCCCATCCAGCTCTCAAGGCTGCCAATATACATATATATATACATATGTACATTATGTAGACGTCAGTTGCCCATGCCCGAAATTTGTAGAATTTAACCACTTGTTAAACAAAAATATTATTCAATAACAAAACAAATGTAACGTGTGCGCAAATCGTGCGCTGCTGCTCTTCGGCTCTCTCACTCTCGCTCTCTCTCTCTTTGGCGCTCTCTTTGCCGAGTTTCTACAATGCATACACACATATTTGTAGAGCACACCAACGAGAGCAACCCCGCAGTTCGATACGAGAGCTGAGCGAGTGCGGACGCGCGTAGCGGACTAAACAGGAGAAGAACCGTTCGAGCGAAGTTCAAGCAAATAACAAAACGCGTGCCAAAACCAACAACAACAACAGCAGCAACAGCGCCAAAAAATTGCAACTGCAGCAACAGCAAGCAGAGCAGTGCGTGCACGCGTGTGTGTGTGTGAGAGAGAGAGAGAGAGATAGAGACATCAGTCAAGCAAAGCCTTTAGGCTTGCCATATGCGCTCGAAGGCAACTGTAAATAATTGTAACTGTAAACACAGTCAGTAAGTGCAAAGACAGTTGAGAGAGCTCGAAAGTTTGACACTTTGAAGCAAGCATCGACATGCCCGAAATCGTGGAGCTAAATGTGGGCGGCGTGCACTATACGACGACGCTGAATACCCTGCTGCAGGAGAAGGGCACGCTGCTGTGCGAGCTGTTCGAGGGGCCCGAGGGGCGCGACTCCCTGGCCAAGGACAGCAAGGGCCGTTATTTTCTGGACCGCGACGGCGTCCTCTTCCGCTACATACTGGACTTTTTGCGCGACAAGGCATTGAATCTGCCGGAGGGCTTCCGCGAACGGCAGCGCCTGCTGCGCGAGGCCGAGCACTTCAAGCTGACGGCGATGCTGGAGTGCATTCGCGGCGATCGGGATGCCCGCCCACCGGGCTGCATCACAATCGGCTATCGCGGCAGCTTCCAGTTCGGCAAGGACGGCCTGGCCGACGTCAAGTTCCGCAAGCTGTCGCGGATTCTGGTCTGTGGGCGGGTGGCGCAGTGCCGCGAGGTGTTTGGCGACACGCTGAACGAGTCCCGGGATCCGGACCATGGTGGCCCGGACCGGTACACGTCGCGCTTCTTCCTCAAGCACTGCTTCATCGAGCAGGCGTTCGACAATCTGCACGAGCACGGCTATCGCATGGCCGGCAGCTGCGGTTCCGGCACGGCTGGATCCGCGGCAGAGCCCAAGCCCGGCGTAGACACGGAGGAGAATCGCTGGAATCATTACAATGAATTTGTCTTCATACGGGATTAAGCAGAGCGGACGGGTTTCCTATAATCTTCTTAAGCTTGTGATACGATCCAAAAGTAAAAGTCAAAACGCCTCCTGCCAAGGCAACGGACAAGTATTAACGAAATCGATAAGTTCTATATACGTATAAATTATTTTTTACAAATTCATTTTCTTTTGTATGGGAACAAATCTGAGTAGCTCTTCCGAGCATCGAGAGAGACTTTAGAGTATGGTCTAGAAAGCATCCCAATGTCTGGCATGATTTAAGCCCACCTTAATATATGTATATTCCAACATGACAGCATCTCAAGCGTAAACATTAAGTAAACAATTCCCTCAAAGGCAAACACCCGAGAACAATCCAAGCAGAAGCCCATTTATTTACCAATCAATCAAAGCTAATGAAATATACGAGGAATTATGGAATCCTATAAAGACAGGCTGATGAATAATAACAATCGAAATTCACGCCTATGAAAGATGCGTAAAAGGCTAAACAGAACCCGAAACAGAAACAGGAAATTCGGAAGTTTCGAAATTTGAAAATTTTAGAATTTTGAATTGAGCAATGAGCGAGCTAATGAAAGAAACCAGAAGCAAACAAACAAACAGACGTAATTTGAAGAAAATCTAGAAATAAATTTACAACAAGAACACATAACAAATTTATACTTATATAAGGTAGGGCCAGATTTGGAAGAATTTATCAACGATCTTACGGCCACAACTACAACAAGGAACTATTTAAATACGGGTCACAACCAAAATAATGGAAAATCAGTAAAGGAAAATTTACTTTTAACGACTTCTTACTCACACCGATTAAGAGAATTGCAAACTTAGAGTATTAGACTATTCGATAACAAATGTACTCCACAAATAGTTCAAGCATTAAAGTAATTAGCAAAATCAATTTCAATATTATATTAAATACATACATATATATATATGTTATATATGTATATATCATAGTACAACAACAGAAATACGGCTCTAGATGTGAGTGTGCGACCGGAGATGCCCTGAACCCTGAGCTAGGTCATAAAATTGTGCTGCGAATGCCAGATTTTTGTTGTTGTTGAGTTTTTGAAAGAAAATATTTATTTACCATTTATCTTTAAATTTAGAAATATATAATTCAAATTTAAAACTTTTGGCTTCTATAGTTTTCGAGAAAGACGCTTTCAGAGGGACGATAGGCTCTGAAAACCCGTTTGAACTATGGCATGACTTTTACTTTGTCCCTTTGAACGGGAACTTTATGCTATAGAGCACTTCTATCCGATACTTATATACGCGGGAACCCGCTTTAGCACCTGGGTTCAGGGCAGAAAAGCCACACCGGAAATTATTTGAAATGCTTCGGAAAATAGATAATTGAACATTTAATCAGGATAATGGATGAAATTAAAAATATTGAAAAATCGAATACAATTTAATAAGTATATATGTATATCTTGCCAAATGTAAGCTCTATAAAATATTGTCATCCAATTGTCTAGTAAATCAATGAAATTCTTTTAGTTTTTTTTTGCATTCAATTAAAAATTGGCATAGAGAAAATCAATGGATCAGAATTTATAAGTAGATATATCTCGTTTACAAATATCAAATTTGAATAGATTTTACTATAATTTGAATATCATAATTTTTAATAATTTATTGAAACTTTAGCGGCTTTAAGGAATGAAGTATTATATAGTTATAAATATTTATGGCTTATCACATATTAATATATTTTATCTCTATCTTCTACTCGATTTGTTAAATATGTGTTATAAATATCAAGAAATATTCGGTCTAATAAACTTCCATTAAACAAAATTTGCTGAAATAAAGTAAAGAAAAAAATTATTAATAAATTTATTGTTTCAACTTGAAACCAGATAACAATCAAACTATATAAAATATCAACGATCTTAAAAATAATAAGAAAGAAAATTGTTATTTATGATTTTCGGTTTAGCGCAAAGTAAAAATATTTGAAAAATTCTTGGAAGAACAAATAAAAAAGTGTAAAAATCGAAATCGCATGCAAATCAATTGTCGATATTGAATATATATGATATATATATAAATATGTATATCTATAAATGTTTAGTATTAAGTTCAAAGTGCATTGAATGAGTATTTGAGTAAAAGTAAAAGAAGCAGAAGATATGAACAATGTATTAATGAGCTCCAAAAACGAAATAAAAACTAAAATGTATTATGAATCCAAATGTAGACGCTATGTAGAGGTCAACAACAAGTTTATCAAAGTGCGAACAAAACAAAAGCTAACACTATGTAAAAATATAAATAATATATGTAATACCAATAAAAATAACTATAACATTAGATATGGCATTATTTCAATTGACTTGTAGATTATGGAAGGTGTCTGAATTTGGTGATTTTGGGAGGACTAGGTAGTACCTTGACGGAGGTCCTTCAACTCCTCATAAGAAATCTTCAAAAAGCAAACGCTTTTGTTCATAAAATCAAATATCAAATGAAAAAAAAAAAAATTATATTTATATACTTTTAGATTTGGTATATAAATACATATTTCAAATTTCAAGACCATAGCTCTTATAGTTCTCGAGAAATAGAGAAGACTCTTGACGAACTAACCGGAATAAGCTTGAAGACGGATAATACAACAGGTAATCTGCCCCGCCTCCTCCTATCAAATACATTATGCCTTAACCCATATATCCTTATAGCCCGAGGCCCAATGGAATATATAATGCGAGGATGGATGGGCGATGACCACGCTCTGTCCACAAATTCAATTTGGCAATTTAATTGGCAGTGCTTTCAGTCAGTTCGACACGGTCCTAATTAGATATTTATGACATTTCATTTATTCATTGTTGCAATCAAATTTATGAACTGCTCGCACTACTCGCACAAAAAAAAAAAAAACAAAAAAAAAAAACAAAAATAAGCAACAAAAAACTCATTAGTGCATTAATAATGCAGGAAACGTTGAACAGTCGACCATAAAGAGGTGCATGAGGCTGGCTGGGAATCGCCCCGCAAATGTCGAAGGCAGTGAAACGGCAACAAACAAATAATTTAAATAACTGAAAAGGCAGCGAGATGAAAAAGCGACAACAATCTGGCATTTGTTTAAATTCAAGGCAGACTACAATCATTTACTTACACACAGCTAGTCGAGTGCGAGGAAGCGACAGCGACAGCGACAGCGGGAGGAGGCGTGGCACAAAGAACACCCACTCCCCACACCTCACACCCCACACCCCACACCCCACACCCCACGCCCCACGCCCCAAGTCCTATCGGCACGCGCGCATCGCCCAGCTTAGAGCCAACAGCAGCAGAGGCCACAACGAGCTATGACTAGTGCTAATAAGTATAAGTGCTCCAGTCGGGTGTGCCTGACTAGCAATTATCCTGACCTATTAACGCAGCTCATCTCTCTATGTGTCTGTGTGTGTGTGTGTGTGGAACATATGCACAGCTTAGACCAATCCTCTGTGTGAAAATATAGTAGCATATGAGTGCAACTCTTATACTCTTTAAATGCTGTACTCTTTTGCTGCATGTATTTCATTTTAATATTGAATACTCCCATGATCTTATACTCGACTTCTATTATGCCCTTGTACTACTACTCTACTATACTCTAGTTATCTAATACTATCATATTCTACATTCTTATACTTTATTTCTCTTATAATATTATACAAGAGTAGAATAAGAGCCTCACTTTAAATCTTATACTTTTATGCTCATATAAAATCTAAAGTCTAGTGTAGTCTGATATAATCATACGCTAATAATCATACTCTAATACAGTTATATTTATAAAAGTGTTCTCATATACAATTTTAAGTTTTGAACTAGTATTCTTATATCTTATATATTACAACTTGAATACTCTTATACTATTATATTTGTATAATGCTGTAATATTATATATGTATATCATATACCTTTATATT